CTGAAAAGCCACGGACGTGGATCTCTTGCCAACAGGTTGCTACGTGAAGGACTTCTAACACAAGAGATGCTGAGACAGCTGGAAAGCGAGTGGCAGGATCAGCACAGGAGTGGTAGATATGGCCTTGCTTCAAAAAGAAATGACCAGAGTAGTTCAAAGGAAATGCGAAAAAAGAAAAAATAGAATCCATGTCCTGATTCTGTTTAGTTTTTATTCCTAAAATAAAATACTATTTTAATAACTTCTTTGGCATTTCATGTTTACACTGATGCAGGTCCTTGATGTTTTTCCTCCACCTGTGACTAGTTATGTGAAGCATTCAGAGAAACACACTCATGTAGGCTGAGAGGCCTACCTTTGCTTTTAGCAATCTGCTGTGCACTTCTTCAGTTGCGGTGTTCAGCAACGGTGTATGATATGCTGCTCTGTGAAAATTTGAACCTGATGCCTTCTTGGAATATATCCTCACATCATTAATAAACATCAGATATTTCACTGGTAATGAATTAGCTACTCATTCCATACCTTCTCAAAGGGCAGAGTTTAGCAGATAACAAGCAGATAACAAGCAACCTGACAGGAAATTTGGTCAGAATGGTGATATGAGTCATGTGCTTCTAACCTTTGTCTCTTGTGAAAATGTGGGAGGAGGCAAAAAGCATTTGTGTTAATACTTGGGGGTTAAATCCTGGTCACAGGATTTGTTTAGGTAAATTCTGTCGTGTGAAGGGTAATTAAACCTGTCCTTGCTCTTTGAATTTTTTTTTTTTTTTTTTTTGCTAAAAAAAATTTAAAAGGCAATTTTTTAAGGGGAAAAAATTATGTGATTATTTTTTGGGGGAAATGTGAAGATGTTAGAGGCATAGATGTAATTGATTTCTGAGAAGTTCATGTCTGTTTCTGCTAATTTAGTTTTATACAAGCAATTTTGTTATGTTGCACTTCATAAATGATACATGTATATAGATATATATTTTTTTCTTCACATTCTGGCTTGTTTGTGACAGGTGGATTTGGAGGGGATATGTGTGAAATATTTCACTTAGAACAGTAGACTGTTCATTGAGCTTTAATAACAGCTAAGGTTTGGTACTCATGCCAGTACCATTCCCAAATACCCATTTTATTATGGCTTGTAGGAAACCTAAATGTTACTGCTGGGTAGAAAGTGTAGTTTGCTGGAACCAAGTTCTCAGGAAGCTGTTGTTTGTTTTTCTTTTCTGCAGACACAGTGTCACTCAATAACGTTTAAGGCAGTGCGACACCAGGCTCTGCTTCTTTCACACACGTGCCTGTGCTCTGTTGCCCTGGCACATGTTTTTAGTGGAAGCAGGCTCTTGAGCTCTCAGTAATGAGGTAATGGGGAGTGGAAAGAGTTGGATGCTGAGGCTGCAGCGTGTGTTCACAGAAGGGGGTTTCAGCTGTTGCTGTGGCTGCATGGAGACAGCCGTGTTGCAGCAGCTATGTGTGTGCTAATGTTTTTTCACAGCTGTTTTCAATGTATTACACACGCTTTTTGCATTTTATGCAAGCAGTGCATAAATGTTGCTAGTCCATGTGATTTCATGCCAGTTTCAGTGCCAAACCATCGTAGGGGGAAGTGTTCCTGTTCTTCTGCAAAGCCCCATCTTTCTTTCCTCCTCCAAGGCAAAAATAAGCAGCCATGAACATGTGAATTTTCTGGCTTGGGGATGAGTAATTCTGCTTTGCTTCCCAGATTGATGACAGCCTAAATGCAACACAGCTTGCACAGCATGCAACACTTGTGCAGGGATGATTCCCCTCTTCTTTCCCCTGTCCCTATGGATGTGGATTGCAGGAGACTCATGTTGCCTGTGTGTTCTGCTAGACTGTTTTGATGAATGTACCCTTTAATTGTATGTGTAGCTGCATGCTAGCATATATTTTGAGCAAGGAAAGTGTGGCTGGGTCTGGGGGTGTAAGCCAGTCTTGCAATACGGAAGCAAAATGCCTATAAGCATTCTTTTTTGTATTTTGGTGAGATTAGTGCTTGGTTTAACTCGTGGCTTGTATCCATAGTGACTCCATAGTAACTGTTACAAGAGCTCTGAAGTGTATTCAGGCATTTCCAGGCTGACTTTTTACGGAAGTTTTCCTTTCTTCTGAGCTAATGATGTGACTGTCATTGGCTGCTGTTAGTATGGCTGCCAAATGGATCCCACGTGGTAAATCTGGACTGATGTGGTGCAGAGGGATGCATGCTGTGCACCGTGAACATTCCATGTTCAAGCAAGCCCCTGGGGGAGATGGAGTGGCTCTTCTTAGGAGGGGGGCTGTGCTGGAAAGTGTTTTTTCTAAACAGCAGCAGCAACACTGTTCATTTGATTTGGGAATCACATTTGCAGTACTTTGTTTTAAAGTGCTTGGATTTCCAGATTAATTTCAGTCATTCAACTTTCAGATGTTTGGAAATCAATTTTTGTGTGTGTGTACGTGTTTAGCTGTTGTGCTTTTAATGGGAAACGATGCTAACAGTGCTGTTTGGTAAAGGCAAAAACAAAGCTGCCTTTCTCTTAAGCCAGTGAACATTTTTCTGTCTGCACTGGCGCTTCTAAATATTGTCTGTCCTTGGGGTGCATTTTCTGGTTGGTTGCCTCAGGTATTCTGCGTTAATTCTGCAGCCTGATGCTTTCTCTGCTGTGAGAGGGAAAGGGGGAAGCTTCAAGCCTCCGTGTGGCAGGCAAGGGGAGCTGATCTGTTCAGGATCGTTTCCCATTTGCTGGCCAGAATATGTACAAAATGGCCATTACGTAGTTGGGAATTCTGCAGTCCTTAGAACACTGAACTGCTGCCTACATGGCAATGAAATAATATCTTGTCTTTCTGTGCACAACTTCTTTGAAGCTAGGATGCACCACGGATGAGCAATTGATTCCTGCAATGGATCTGACACATCATGTATTTGACAGTGCTTGCTGCCAGCTCTGTAACATTTAGCTCTTTAAGACCCTTTTTCAGTGGCATCTGTTAGAGAAAAAAAGAAAAGAGAGAATGAGAAATAAATCTACTGTATTACAGTCACAATGAGCTGTGGATCATAGTGGGATGGAGCTTGAAAGGTGATGTTTTCAGTTTTGCTGGCCAGAGGGGTTGTGGCTCTGATGGTGTGGGTAAACAATGAGGAGAGAGACAGTCCCTCTGGGAGTCAGTGTCTGACTTAACGAGCCGGCAGTTATTGGAAGATGAATACAGGAGAAGTGAACCGTGCTTTCTGGCTGGTAGTGTGGCTTTTTTCTTCTTCCTTTTTTCCCTTTCTCTTGAAGATCAAAAGCCTAATTTTAGACCAAGCCTTATTTGTGAACTGTTCAGCCCCTTTGCTTTACTCTTGCTTTTCTTGTTTTAGAATAGTGGAAAATAAACAGAGCTGTTGGGATCTCCTAGTGTCTGGGGCTAATCCCTGATGCAAGTCAGGCAAAAGGAATAAAAAAGGCCTCAACCTTTCCTAGCAGAGCTTTTGTGTAATTTGTCTCAGTGGGGCTGTTCTCTACCTTCCCTCAGCTCTTTAAGTCTTTCCTTGTGATCAGAGACTGAACAACTGCTCTGATGTTCAGCAGAGCTTATCTCCTGATCTGTGTGTTCTTGAAGCTGCCAGAACTGGGTAGAGTCCTCTTCCTGAGACCAGTGCCGGGTAGAGCTGAAGTATTGCGTGTCTGTGAATTTACTCCTCTGTTCATATGGCTCAGTTCAATCATACATATACATATATATTTACAATAGCATGAGGCTGTTGGGTCCTTTTTAGGCTATGACACGGCACGGCCTAAGATCTTTTTCTGCTAATTGGCCACTTCTGCCCTGCTGTGGATCTTTGTAACATTTTTGACTTCACCCAGTACAGAATCACAGAACTGTAGAGATCAGAAGGGACCTCTAGAGACCACTGAGTCCAACCCCTGCTAAAGCAGGTTTCCTACAGCAGGTGAAGCAGTACCTTTCTGTGATCTCTCCTGTTGCTCAGCACGTCCCACCTTTCCAGCTCCCACTTATCCCTTCCCAAGACTGTCGTTCTGATTAATCAACAGAATTTTGGATTATGATATTTTTCTGCAGAATTTTGGCTGTAGGTTATCTGCCAGTGAAGTAAGTGCTCCTGCTGGGCAAAGCAGACTGTAGGAGTAGTTTGGAGTGAGCCTCCTATTGCTCTGTGCCAATGCTTTTCTTTCCCCTTTCCCTGGGTCAATATCTCAGTTCTTTTTGGATCTTTCATTAGTGCATATTATCCAATTTAGTGATAAAACCCTGGAAGCACTTGTGTATTAAGGGTAAACCTGAAGAGTAATAGTTAAAGGTTGAGTCAGATTCAACTCTGATAGCGCAAGGAAGCAGTTTTGCCACAAGCACCGGGTGCTGCCAGTTAAAGGTGCTTGTTGCACTGAGTGCCAAGCCTGATATCTACTCTGTTGGCTGCCAGTAAATTTATTCTCTCCCCAAGTTTTGCAACGCTGAGGATCTGCATTGGCCTGAAACTTTGCCTTCAGAGGAGGGCTGAAGGGAGGGTAATCGGTGCAAAACCTTTCTGGGCTGGGAATTTCGAAAGAGGTGTTTCAGCTGGGGGTGGGAGGCTGTGTGCCTTCCCTCCTTACTGCGGCTGAAGCTTAATCAAGAAGGGCTGGAGATAAGGGTGCACTGTGTGGGACTAGAGAGGAGTTAATTCATGCAGAAGAGTGCAAGTGGGAGTGCCAAGCAGAAGCAAGAAACCTAACATCCTCTCTCAGCTTTCCAGATTCCCTGCAGGACTTTGCGCTGTGCCGCTGTCAGCCCAGGGGAAGGAAGCGATGTAAGCAGGGCAGGCTGGGTGCGTAGCAACTACATGGCAAAGTGGTTACCATTCCCAAGTGTGGCTATAACAAAATTGATTTTTCTCCCCTTCAGCTTGGCAGATCTCCAGGTGCCTGCTTGGGCACAATGGAGCGCGTAACTGAGAGGGAGGGACTTTGGGGTGATGTTGGGGGAGATACAAAGAGACAGAAGTTTAATCATTGAACCGATCACGCTGGATGGATTTATTTCTGGACTCAATTTCCCAGGAACTCCACTGTCTCGCCTTGGGGGAAATGCCTCAGCTGAAGTTTCTCTAGCTCCAGTTTAGTGAATAAAGACGCAGCGCTTTGGAATTGCTCAACAGCAGCTGTCACTACTGACACATCCATCTGCCTCGAGAAAATGTTTGCAGTCCACTTGCTAGCTTTCCATTTTGCAAAGCTAAAAGAGGATCAAATAAAAAAGGTAAGTTAGAGCAGTAACTGAGATGCCTGTTTTCAGAACTGTTACTCATGCTCTGCGGGGTCTGCAGTGTGTAATGCAGGCTCGGTTATGGCTTTTTCTACTGCTGCTATGGAGGCAAATGGCACGAGAAGCATTTGGATACAACTGATGACTGTGAAAATAGGTCTGGTTAGAGCTTTTCCCTGCACAATTATAAATTGCAATGGAACAAATGATCTTCAGTATGGAAAAGTGGTATTTAAACTTTACCTGGCATGGTGTGGTGTAGTCCAGAGGGCAGGAAGGGACCTTTCTTTAAGTTGCTTTGTGAGTAATGTGGAGGATGAGATTTTTAAATCTGAGTAGGTGCCTGATTCACTTACATGGTAGTAAGGATAGGAAGATCTCCTGGGGGCTTTGGAACAGGTCTTCTGTGATTCAACACACAGTTCCAACTAGTGGTGGTGGAATTAGAAGTGGTGAAGCTAAAAGTGAACCCAATCAGAAGCTGTCAGTACTGGAAGTGAGCTGCCTGGTGGTTGCTTTTCCCATTTGCTTTCATGCCTGGGCTGCAGTGGGTTGTGGACCACGTGTGACCTGTAAGTTTGAGTTAGAGGCACTCTGGTTTCTAGACATGTCCTCAGAGGTGCTCTGTTTTCCTGGCATCTACACAGAGTGCTTTGTGGCTGTCACCACCCAGCCCTGTCCTCTAGTTTTACAGCCAGCTGGAAGCGGAGAACTCTGCAGGTGCATGGCAGGAGGTAATGCTGCCTCCATGGCAGCACTGGGGTTTCCTCACTGTGCCCGTGCTTACACATGAAGGTTAGATGTCTCTGATGGCCACAGCCCTTTTTGTCCCCATGTGATCAGAAGGGGCCCTTGTGCCCCTGAAAACCAGATCTAAGGTCTCTCATCTGGACAGTGCATTTTTTCCCGATGTTTTTACAAAGAAACAGAGAGGCCTTGTGGAGCACTGCTTGGGTAGAATGGGCTCTTACAAGAAACACCCAGTGTGTGGCTGAGGGAGGGTTTTCCTGAAGTGGGGACAGTGGAGAGGGGGCAGAAACATTTTGTGAAGCTCTTAGAAAATCTTTTTGCTAGGTGCAAACTAGTCTTGCATGAAGGCAAGAAAGTGTACTGCTGTGCAGAGGTTTCTTAGGAAGGAAGCCCAGTGTAGGCAGTATGGAGCAGAGCTGATTTCTCTCTAATTAGAGAGGAGTGCCTCCCTCCCTGTCTGCCCCTGGCTTGTTTGCCTTTTGGTGTCAAGAGCAAGAGCCTCTCTGCCATGGAAACATTGCTGATTCTATGTTGAAGTAAAACGTTTAAAAACAAGGACTGTGCTTGTGCTGGAAGGGAGGTGGTGCAGCAAATTTTGGTGTTCCGTGACCTGGCCATTCCTGCATTTGTAAGCCACTGATATGGTAGTGTGCCCTTGTTCTGGTTGTAAATCATGCTAGAGAGCAGGCAGGCTGCGCCTTATCTGGCTCCTTGGAAAGGATTGTCTCCTTCTATGGCTGTAGGTAAACAGGGCAGAGAACACAATTTCCATGGAGTGCAGAGAGCTTGTATGTGGTGTCTGCAAATACAAACATGGGCATTTTTATTGCTCTTTAGTTTTATTTCCTCAAGGAATTATCTCAGATGGTTTTATGGGCCTGTGTGAGAGTGCATGGCTGCTGCATGCCTCGAGTCATTGCGTTTCCTTCTTTCGGTATGCCCAAGAAAGAAGTGCTAGTGTCTGAGCTGGGATGGTGAATCCTACACAGTGGCGGGGCCTAGGAAAGCCCTAGAGGTAATCCAGTGGTTGTCCAAACTGGGGCTACAGAGAAATATCTAAATAATGGTCTTTTCAAGGCATGGCTGTGTCTTAAGGCAATTGCTGCTTCTTGACAATGGCATCTTGTATTTTGTCTTTCTCTTGCTGCTGGGTAAGGCCTGCATTATTTCCAGAGGGCTGACACTCTCAAATGGGTCACTGCTGACCATCCATTTAAAACAGGTCTGTGAATATGTAACCAGGTAATTGGTTTGTGCCTCATTAACATGGGTGGCCAGTCAGTTACAGAATGGGCCAGTTTATCCACAACCTGCCTTCTTTGTTGTCATGGTTTTGTGATTTTTGGTTTTCGGTAGAACCAGCCCGTAAACCGTTGACATTTGTTTAAACAGTGCCACTTCTTAGATCCTCTATTTCCCTCTAATTCCACTGGCCTTTATTTTGATTGTGTGTTGTGAATAACGCACTCCTGAGTAGGTATATTTATTGCACCCAGAATTGTTTTCAGGATGTAATCCTAACATCACAGAGAACAGAGGGCAGAGCTGGGGTGAGAAACAGGCTTTGAGCTCCAGCCTGGCATGCCAGCAAAGTTAATTGTCTGTGGAGTGAAGCAGTAGCTGAATAGATGTTTTCAGACTGTAGCCGACACGCTTGGGCACTGACGGCATTTTCTGGACCTGACTCAGAGGGGTCAGATCCTCACCAGCTTTGCAGTTCTAGTTCATTATGTGAGCAGGAGGAAAAGATGGGTAAGAACAGCCTGTCGGGATGTAGGAGACTTGTGGGCATGTGGGGGGCAGACGTTATTGGTCCATCAGAAAAGATGACTTACTTTCTGTCAGTAAGGCTCATGAAAGCAGCAGCCCTGCAGCCAGCTGCTGAACACTGAGCAGTTGGCGTGCCTTCCAAGTAACACCTTCCCTGCTTGCAGGTTGACAGGTACCTGTACCACATGCGTCTCTCTGATGATGTCTTGCTGGACGTGATGGCTCGCTTCCGGGCCGAGATGGTGAAGGGCCTGGGCAGAGACACCAACCCCACGGCAACAGTCAAAATGCTGCCTTCATTAGTGCGCTCGCTTCCTGATGGCTCGGGTGAGTTCCCTGCTCCCACAGCAGTGCTGGTTTAGGGAACAAGATGTTGCTCATACTCAAGGACAGCGCAGCAAGAGCACGGGGCAGCCGGTGCCCTACTTTACTGCCTTACCTCATGCTCAGCAAGGAGGTATCTGCTGAGGAGACTTGTGGGTGTTGGCAGGGTTTTTTCCCCACACCAGATGCATTTAGGCCAAGTGCTTATTGGAGAGAAAGGCTTAGTTACAGATCCTAGCAAGCAGCCTCTTTCGTCTGCAAATGCGGCTGTACCTATTGCAGGCCTTGTAGCAGGAGCTGTGTCTGGACATGGCAAGGGCAGCCTCTACAGCCCAGAGCCTGCAGTGCAGCGTGCTGCAGGAGTGGGGAAGTGAGCATTGCTGGTTCTTGTCATTGTCCAGGTATAGGATCTAAAAGCCAGTTCTGTTTGGAGACATGCACACCCTGGCTCAGCTGGTGCCAGCAGTGCAGACTGACAGATAATTTTCTATCCTAAGCAATATAATTTGGTTGTATTTTTTCCATATAACCGAGCCTTTGAATTTTTGTAAGGCTTAGGTGAGGATGCAGTGCATAACACCTGTTGATGCAGAGGAATGTAAGAAATGCTGCTCTGTACATCATTTCCAAAGGAATTTATTCCTTCTGAAGTTAATCTGCTCACAGTTAAATGAGAAATAATAGCTTATATGGCATAAAGGGAACATTTGGTGGTAGTCCAAAGTTTCAAGGCAGTCCTTTGAAATTAAGGATGTCTAGACATAATTCCTCAGAAAGTGCCTGGCTGGAGTTGAGTGTCCTTCCTCTGACTGCAGCCTTCACCAAAGAAAACTAAATGTTAGCTTAGTCTTTGTTACCTCTGTGGCCATCAGGTCCTACGGTCTCGTATGACACTGATCCTATCTGGAAGTTGCAGGGAGCGCCTAAGGTCAGGAGATTTGGGAAATTACATGTCATGTCAGCATTATTGCAAAACTTTGTGTTCCTCTAGGCCAACGTTGGACAGTAGTCTCTTGGCCTGTGTAGCCTTTCCTGTGTACCAAGGACATACTTTGGTGTCATGCTGGGCTATGTGTTCTTGATACACCCATTTTAGGCATGACATTGATTTTTCTATTTTTGTTCCTTTGCTGAATTCCTTACTGGTCATTATGTTCCCAAAGAAAACTTCCAGCAGGTTCAAACACCTCCAACTTGGCTGGATTATGCTATTTGCAATAGCAGTAAACTTTCAGATTTTTCACTGCCCACAGTATTACTACCTGGAATGACCCGTGTGGAGCATCATTAATGATTTAGGGATTAATGATCTGACTAATGTCATGGTTTACTGAGTAACCCAGTTTGTCTCGTCACCTCTATCATATGTAGCTGTGGTATTACAGGTGTAATTTCCCGCTTCCTTCCCTTTCAGGGTCATGTTTGATAAAATTTAGTCAGGTGCTTGGACCGTGGAACAAAGATCATGCAGGGCTATGACATGCCAGTTGCATTTTCCTTTGACGAAGGGCCTTTTCACATGGGATGGATAGATAAGTGCTTTATTGTGGCAGTGAGTACGAACTGTCCTTGGGCCCTTCTTTCCACAAAGTTCATCCTTCTCCAGCTTGAAAACGTGCTGCTGAGAAAGGAGCAGAGTGGGCAAAACCAGGCTGCTAGAACATATTAATTAGGGCATTGCAGGATTGCAGCCTTCCTGGTGGTGGCTCTAGACCCAAGGTGCTGTGGTCATGGTGAGGCAGGAGCTCTGAGCTGCCTCCTGGGGGATGCCTGCTGCACTGGGCCACGCTTGCCAGCCATCACCACTGATGGCTGCCCGCTTGTGTTGCAGAGAAGGGTGATTTCCTCGCTGTTGACCTGGGTGGCTCCCAGTTTCGTGCCCTCGAGGTGAAGGTGTTTAACGATGGGAAACAGAGCAGCCAACTGGAGAGCAAGTTTTACCCTACACCAAAGGAAGTCATACAGGGCAGTGGAGCAGAGGTAGGCCATGCATGGTCTTTGGTGGTGGTGCCGTGCTCCGGGAAGTGTCTGCTAGTCAAAGCCCGACTCTGTTCTCTCCTTTCTCCCCCAGCTCTTCAGTTATGTTGCTGACTGTCTGTCAGACTTTATGGAGTCCAGAAACCTGAAGCATAAGAAGTTACCTCTTGGCTTTACATTCTCTTTTCCATGCAAACAGACCAAACTGGAAGAGGTAAGGTGCAAAAAAGATATTGGCAAGCCTAGCTTGTTGCAGAATCCTTAGAAGCTATTGCATGGAAGTGTTACCTCGTGGCCCTTTCTGAGGTATTGGCTATCCATAGCACTCTGAAGAAGGCATGGATGAGCCTTTAATTACAGTAATTACCATTCAAGGACTTGTCCCTTATCTCAGGGCAATAGAATCTTTATTATTTAGCTTAATTAATATCTTATTCCATAGTAACCATGTGCTTGTATGAAGTCTGCTGGACTTTAAATCACATATTTTGGGGTTCATCCTTTGTTTTTGATCCCTTCTCATTCAGTACAATTGATAGTAATTAGAAAGACTTGTAGCAGAGGTGCTTGAAAGGAAGA